CCACCCGCTACTCCCCTCAGCAGTGTACTTCTTCAGGCAGCCTGTTCTGCTCCCTGCTCTGTCTATGGTGAATCCTTCCACTGCCTCTATACCTCCCGCCTATATGCTAAATAAATAAATCTTAAATAAATAAGTAAATAAATAAAAAGCCTGAAAAGGGCCCCAGGACTCACATTTACTGGCTGCCTAGATCCACAGAAAACCTGCCCCGTGCTTTGTTGGTGTAACAACGACATAAACAAAGTGGGACACTGAGTATCAGGTCAAGTGGAGACCTCAGGCCTGTCTCAACCAGCATCACCTCAGCATCGGCTCACCACTGAGGGAGCCAGCAGCCACTGGGAGACACAGTGAGCCAGAAATAGCCCTGGTTTCTCTGCTGAAACTGGCGAAGAGTCCACCTACAACGGCTTCCTCTTTTTATTTTTGATTTTTGATTCTCGGTTTCTGATTTCTAGTTCCCACTCCTCTTGCCTAAAATTCAATGCGCATCATCTCAAACAAAACAAAACAGAACATCAAAGGAAGACAAAATTCAAAACGGGCACTGCTTATTCTCTAACTGAAAGACATCTGATTAAACAGGTTCTGTGCGAGGGATCAATCGCTCGGCATTAAGCAGCTTTACATCACTGGGTAAATAGGTTTAACAAATTAAGAGAGAGATGTTGCACCCAGCCCAACACCTTTCTAGAAACAAGTGGGGGTGAGGACCTGTGGGAAGAGCTACCTTTTCAAGCTACCACTCGTGCTCCCAAATGCATACTACTTGGCCAAGATCAAGTCATGGAATCCCAGTTCAGAAAACTGCATACTTAGTTCTCACCCAGGCCTTCCACCGCTGGGACAAACAAGAAAGGAATTACTTTCAAATGCTTGAAAGTAGCTAATGGTTTGAACCTGGCCTCTGAACAGCAAACATTTCATAAATAAAGCTGATAATTTTTTCCTAATTTGCAAGGCAAACTTCTCCCTAGAAATGAGGAACCATTTTTTTTTCTCTATATAGGCTGGTCAAGGTACACCTGGAAGAGGTTTATATAAAGATTTGAAGGTTTGCTAAAGTCCAGGGAAGTTTCTGGACTTTGTGCCTCTAAGGTTACCTTGGACCAGAACCTGAATAAGAATAGGAAACATACGCTGTAGGTACAAAGCATGACATGGACTCTGCACTCAAACTAGGTTTAACTAACTAGGATTGTGGCGAATCAGGTATTCTGTGCCTTGTCTTCTTACCTGTAAAGTGGAGCTAATAACAGTACAGACAGTCTCTGACTGATGGCTATGTGACTTATGAGTTTTGCACTTTCTAATGGTGTGGAACATATACACGTTTGGTAGAAATGGCACTTTGGATTTTGAAGCATGGCGTTCTGTTTCTCACTTCTAGTGTAGAGTTCAGTAAATCACATGAGGTAGATGCTTTGTTATAAGTAAGATTTGTGTTAGAAGCTTTCGCCTGACTGGCAGCTAATGTGAATGTTCTGGACATATAGAAGGCAGATGAGGCAAAGATATGAAGTTTGGTAGGCTCAGTGTTTTAAATGCATTATCAACTTATATGATGGGTTTATGGGGATGTAACCCTATTCTAAGTAGAGGAAGACCTATAGCTTCTTTATAGGGTTGTTCTGAACTTTTGAGTAAATTAATAAATGTTAAGGGGCTTAAAATAGTGCCTGGCATTTAACAGACACTAAATAACCACTTAGTTAATATTTAATTCATGGTATTAAGCATTATTTAATAACTGAAATTCTTGTTACTTTTTGTAATTGAGAAATTACTCCTGTGATTTTCATATTATACGAAAGGTAGAAGGAAATACTTAATTCAAAGCATGAATGGATGTACTAGAGAAACAGTTCTGAAGAATGGAGGGTGTGTTTAATTTAACAGCTCTGTGATCTAGGGGCATCAATCAAAAGACTTGCTTCTAAATCTGTCTCCTCTGCTCCTTAGCTGACGGAGAACAAATGACTTCACTTCTCAGAGGCTTAGTTTCATTATCCACCAAATTCAGAAAATAGCTGCCTGCCAACCCCTTAAGTTTGTTGAAAACTACAAATGAGACTGTATGGGGAAAAACATTCAGAAAACCATGAAGAGCAAAGTAACCTCATTTTAAGCCTGATCTGGCATGTGCCCCTCTTAGCTAAATTAAAAGAAGCAAGCAATTAAAAACTCTCAAGGCCCACAACACTGAACAGCCCCGAATGGAGCCCGGTGGGGGCTAACCCAGCTCCTCCCGGCTCTTGGAAGGAGGCCATGCCTCGCGCTCCCTGCTCTTTCCTGCTAAGGATGCCATGCAGGACCACAGGGCCGTGTTCCCCGTGCTCCCTGCTGTACCCAGGCAAAGGGGTGCACGCCCCTTCATGCCTTCATGAGCCTGACTCCCTGTCCTGATTGTCTGCTCCTTTTTCTCATCCTGGGTCTGACCGAGCCTTGTCTCCAGACCGTGAGGGAAAGAGACCATGGCCTTGCACTTTGGCCCAGCCTTTACTTCCTTCGTTCCTCCTGACTCCTCCCCAAAGGCCATCCCAGGACCCCATGCTGACAGGACCCCATTGTGTGGGTGGGCTGGGGAGGGCCGCCTGCCAGCTCAGGAAAGGAGGTGCCTCCCGGGGAGGCCGAGTCCTTGTCAACAGCTCAACAGAACTGCAAGTGTCATCACATTCCTGCTCAGGCCTCAAAGTGAAAAACATCCACAAAGCCCCAGGGGATAAAGTGTCCCAGAGAGGCCAGGGAGCATTTGCACAACAGGGCGAGCCTTAGCGTGCTGTGGACCGGCAGGCTGGCTCCAGAGCCCAGAATCCCAGGCTGCGGGAGCTGGAGCCGTCTCCAGAAGCAGCGCTGAAGCCAACCTGGCCCTAGAATGAGTCTAAAGAGGAGTCACGAAACCTTCTGTGGAGGGTGACATGCTTTCTCGAGTTCCCCTCCCTTGCCCTGCGCCCCAAGAACCCTTCCACATCCTTAGCGCACTGCAGGGATGGTCACCCGTGGAAACCCTCATCCCTGTGGCCATTCAGCACCTTTGTCCTTCACAGGTCTTGCGCCAGTTCCTGGGAGGTCTGTTAGTGTCGCCTGGATTCATATCTACAAGCTGAATTTCTAACTTCAGCTCCCAGCTGGAGACCTTGAAAAGTCAAGTCTGTGGTCGAGAGGAAATAAGTAGGGATGCGTGTACCCCACCTCTGGAAAATACTCCCCAGTGGAGGCGAATAAGGAGCATCCCCCAAGCAATGGAGAGCCTTTAACGTCTTCTGGGAATTCTCCGGCTCAGCAAAACCTCCCCTCTCCGGGCTGACCAGGAGGGAAGCAGGCTGGCCTGCAGGGGACGGAGGCGCAAGGCTTACATTTCCGGGGTGGCGTACTCGGGGGCCCTCATCCTCATGCCTTCCTTCAGGCGGCTGCAGAAGTCCTCATCCATTTGCACACCTGGGTATGGAGAACCCCCTGTGCGAGACAGCATGAGAAAGCACACGGGTGTGAGAAGGGGGGGTGACTCGGCATTCTTCCTTTCAAGTGCTGTTTCAGTAGTAAATCCCCAGGATGGAGGTGATCTCACAGCGTAGCACCACACACAGGGGCTTAGTGAATCCTTACTGATAACATATGCCTGGCCGGCAGGTGCCATGGTGCTGGGGTCTGATGCCCACGGCCACCCACATGTCTGCTCAGGAAAGAGAGTATCAGTCAAAGGACCCCTCTCCCCACAAGGAACTCTGAAGAAGCCCCACCACTGAGACAGCTGCCTTCTAAAAGCCAGCAGACTTGGCATGGGTGGTTTGCGATCAGTCGCCCTCCGTGCATGACTGCGGGGCTGGGGGCTGCGACGGGCCTGACAGAAAGCAGGGCTTTGGGTTCCAGGTCCTGACTGGACGCTGAGGGTTCCTGAGGGGTCTAGACCTCGCCTGTTGCCAGCCTGACTGTGCAGGATAGCCACCTGCTTTCCTTCTATGGGCATTTTTGACTAGGGGTGGGGAGATGGGGGTGAAGACCAGGCCTCCAGTCTGCTGTCCCAGGCTGGAAGCTAGTCTATCTCAGCATTTGTTTGTCTGCACTTTCTAGTGATTGCTACTAGTAGGAAGCAGCTGGGAGGCGTGCAGCGCTGGCTCCGTGTCACTGCAGGGCCACTGCGGCCGCCAAGCTGCTTTCAAAGACTGGAAGCAACAGGTGCCTGTCATCGAAAGCAGGGGAATGATTTTTACACATTACAGGAAACCAGGGATGTTACTGGATGACTTTTATTTGCTCTGAAAGGCAAATTTTTGGCAAAGTTCAGAAGACTCTTGGCTAGAACTCCGCATTTGGGAGCTCTCTGCACATCAGTGTCTGCAAGCAGGTGTGGGCTCCGGGCACATCTGTGTTCCTGAAGCCTCGGTCAAAGTCTCAGCCACCCACAGTGGCATGATTGGAAACAGAATAAATACAACCGGTGTTCCTATTGTTCCTCCTGCATCAGCGGGCGTCTGGGGCTGGCTATGTTCACCTCAGAGGCACTACACAGACCTGTTTGAACAGGAGGTTGAGTTGGGCTGCACTTGTGAGGGTCTTTCCTGACAAAGTCTGAGGGGCGAGGGTGGTACAGGGAGGGAGGCTAGAAGAGCCAGGAATTTGAGGCCTGAAGAAGGAGGCAGACAGGCCAGAGTGACTGCAGATAAACCTGACTTGAGATTTGCTGCCCTCATGTGCGCTCCCACGAACGCACGCAGGCACATGCATGCACCGTTCCTCATAGGGGCTCTACATGGATTCAGGCCCGTGACACTTTTTAGTTCTCTTAGATCCTGAACTGTAGGCTGCGTCTTTCCAAAGGACGCTCTGCAGAGGACGCAGGCATTGGGTGCTGGGCTATCTGATCGCTACCTTTCCCCAGGCTTACCCAAGGAGAAGATCTCCCATAGAAGCACTCCGTAAGACCACACGTCGCTCTTGGTGCTGTAGATCTTGTCAAAGATGGATTCAGGAGCCATCCATTTGAGAGGAAGTCTTGTCTAGGAAAGGGCAAAGGGGCCTTGAGCAGAAGGACGCGAAAACAAAGCACATTCAACCCCAGTGCCCATGGGGTCACCTCGCAGATAACACTTGGCCCATAAATCAGCCAGAAGCTGCTCTGGCTTCCGAACATGCAGAGAACTCTGCTAACACACAGTGTTCCACTGACAGAGCTGCGCCCTTTCCTGTGAAGGCAGGAGGCACTCAGGGACCGCCTGCTGTCTGTCCAGCGTTCTCAACTCTGTGGCTCTGCAAGAGGCCACCTCCAAATGTTTAACCCCACACGGACCTGGACAAGGGGCGCTGGATGATCAGAAGACAGCCTGAAGATCTGATGGCTGCCAGTAGTTTTTCTTTCCAAGAAAGATTTTGTAAAGCATCCCAGTGCAGAGAGACAGGACTTAAAATGTCATCGAATGGGGGGAGTGGGCACAGGCAATGGAGGAAAGGGGAGCGCAACAGTGTGTCAGACGACAGATGTCCGGCTCTCAAGTGTGTAGACAAATCTCCCTTCTCTATTAAACAGCAGGATACCCAGCAGCTGAGAGGGATAGGAATGGACAGGAAGGATGGGTTAATAGAGAAACAGAGGCAATAATAGAAGGGGAGTTTAGGGAGAAGTGGACTGAGGCACAGCTGCACAGACAGGGACAGACAGGTAGACAGATGTCATCTCTGCAAGTCAGTGCTCCTGAGGAATGTCTGCTGGTTTTGTGTTTTCCCCCTTTATAATAAGAGATGGTGGAGCAGGAATTCTCAAAGTACAGCCCTCGGACCAGCTGTGGAGCTGCCTAGAAACTCATGTTTAGAAAGGCAAATTCGTAGCCCCACCTAAGATGCATGGAACCAGGCCGTGTGGGTTCCATACAAGACATAGCAAGACATAGTTTAGTAAACCAGCAGAAAATTTATCTACAACTAGAACCACTCTTGAGTGATCAGAAGAACCCAGGAAGAGACAAGCCCTCAGGGGATTGGCCAGAGAAGAGGGGACACAGGAGATGACCCTCTAAAGTGCAAATCACACCACGTCCGAAAACAAGCAGGGAAGTGAAGCTGGTGTGAGCCACCAGGGAGATGCGAGGCATGGAAGGCAGGCATGGAAGGTAAACAGTTTCCTCCCAAGTGATTAAATGCTGAGACCCTCCCCACCCTTTCCTGAGCTATATACACCTGCTGAATCAATCATCCGGGTCATTTGAGGGGAAGAGGCCAGGCTGTTCTTTCCAGCGGTACAGGGAACTCCCACAGGAGTCAGAGGGAGGTGACATGGTCTCATGGGGCCCCTGTACCCAGGGCGGGGGGTTGGCCCATCTTAGCTGGCCCCGAGGACAGGCACAAAGCAGGAGCCAGGGCCCAACAGGACCAAGAGACAGTTGCCTTTCCCAGCCATTTGGAAGCCAGCCATTTGCGATGCCTGTCTTCACAGAAAGCACAGGATGGTTTCAGGGACCATGGCCAAGGAAGTGTAAATATTTACCAAGGGCTTCGATCTGCACTTTAAAAATGGTAGGGTATAAGTAAGTCCCACATCAAACTGACTTACGTCTCCTTTTCTCACATAATCGGGATTCTTATAAATATCTCGGGCAAGGCCAAAATCACAAATCTTCACCACGTTGTTTTCAGATAAAAGAATATTTCGTGCCGCCAGGTCCCGATGGATGCACTAAAATAAAGCAGTCATATTATCAATACATTTCCTTAATCTAACCCACAAATTTCCTGCCCCTTTTAGTGTCTTTCTTCTTAATTAAAGGATCCATTTCACATGCTTCCTTGACATGAAGGAAGTGACGCCGTGCACAAGGAGTCACCATAAACATGAGCTTCTTCACAAAGTCCCAGAGGCCCAGAAGTCAAGGAATGCCCTGAGTCTGCGGAGCTACTGTTTTGCAGGGCCGTGTCCTCGTGGACAAAGTGGGCACTTGAATATCCTGCCAGGAAGCCACACGTTCCCGCCTTTTTATCTGAGCGGCGGAGAGGGGAGCCACTATCTGAGCGGCGGAGAGGGGAGCCACTTTGGGAGGCTGCACAAGAATGACTGCTAGATGCCATCTTGGTGTCCCACACACTGAGTCTGGCCACCTGGGGAGAGACAGCAGAGGGCAAAGCAGAATGTGCCAGATTTGTCTAGTCTGAAACCAAGTGAGAGTCTTCTCACGAATTAAGTTCTACCCTTGGGCTTCCAGGCCTCACTGTTCTCAAAATTCCTCCTATCAGGACTAATTAAGTCATTTGTGGTGACTGTTCCTGGCACATAAGGACACAATATAAGCAGATACTAGGAAAAGGAGATTTATAGCAAAGGTGTGTTTGTCTCTGTGAATGTCCCCCATGTCCAGGCCTGGCAAAGAAGAGAGACAGGTAAGAGGAAGGCTGACCTTTCTAGAAGACAAAAACTCCATGCCTCTGGCCACTTGAAAACTGTAAGAAATAAGATCTTCCATAGTGATGGGCTGCTTGTAGAAATCGTCAGAATCTGGAAAGCATTAAAACCGTAACTATTTGTAATGGCTCTTGTTATCCCACCAAATCCCAGTTATTGGAACAATGTTAGCAAAACATAAAACAAACCAACAAGTAGAGCAGAGTTCATTTTCAAGCGCATTTGAGTTTCAACGTGAATATCAGAGATTTTTCCAGGCCTCCAGCCCATTTTACCCAAGCATGGGGGGAGGGGGATGAGCTGTTCAGAGCAAAAGGCCTGAGGGGAGACAATTGCACAGTTCTCTGTCAAAATTAGTAACTCTGTAAATAATCTTAATTCAAATCTTATCTCCTCAGGACACAACCCTTGGAGGCTCCCACGGATGTTTATTAGGGTGATAAATAAGAAAAAAATTTCAGAGATGCACAGTATGTTGTAAAAATATCTCAGACTGTAGGACAGGAAGGAATTAATACCTACCCTCCTCTTCCTCAACATCACTCAGACTTTTATCTTCCTGGAAGCCAGAACTTGCAAAGCTCTCACTGCTGGTGACACTATCTAATCGTTCCTTCTTGTCTTGCTCCACGTCTGGCTCCATTTCTTCTTTCTTGGGCTCTGGGTGTAACGCTGCATCCTTCAACAGACCGAAAAGGACAGAGCTACAAGGGAGTTCCAGAACAGCAGTGGGGGAATGGGCCCCTCAAGTGGCAAACCTCCTGGGCTGAGAGAATGTCTTCCTACTAAATGGAGAAGAAATGAGTAGCCAGAGCCCTTCGGTGCCAGGTGTGGCTGCCCCTGAGGTGGTGGAATCTGTCAGCTCTTGATGGGACTGTGCACAGCGTTTTAGGTTGGTATTTGCTGAGAGCTTATGCTGGCTGAGTCAGCCTATTAAGGACTTTGGTGCATTTTCTCATTTAATCTTTCCACTAAGTTTCTTCCTTATTCTGGAGAAACAGGTTCAGAAAAAATCAAGTCACCAGTCACATGCAGCTAACTGACAAAGCATGAACCCAGGTTTGGTCAATTCCCATCCATGTCCTTAGCACCCATTCCCTAAGACGCGCCATCTTGTGGAAGAAGATCATGGACAAAAGGAAAGGATCCCAGTGAACCTGGGGCTTCCTTGGTAATCCCTCTGAGGAATAAAAAGAGAAGGCTGTAGTTACTAATTTCTCTGGTTTCCCTGGGGAAGGTAGGGACAGGAATGCTTATTTTTCTCCCTGTCACCACAACAGAGATAGTTCGATATCAACAGGGCTAGAAAAGACCTTTCATCCTGGGCTGGGCAATTAAGTCCTGGGTTGAAATTTGGCTTTTCCAAGAATCATGTGATCTTGATCTTCCTATTGTGTATTAACTCACAGGAGAGAAGTTGCTGGCCTTGTGTGTTCACATGGAACCAGAGAAAATTTAAACAACTTTAAGTGATGGGTCTGATGACTGTGACTCTTGAAACACAGCGCTCTCAGTGGCTGCGTCATGGGACCAAAAACCAAGGCTTGATTCTGCTAGATGGCAAAATTGGACCAGGAGCTGAGAAAGAATGGGGTGCCAGCCTGCTAGTGGAGGTGGTGCTGGCATTGACCTTGCTCCCATCCATTTTTGACTTTCCTCAGTAATGTCAGCCAGGGAGATGTCCCTCCACTAGAGGGCACAGTGGGAGCAAGGAGAGGCCTGAGGAAGGAGGTTCAGGAGCGGCAGCCTGACAAGTACCAGGCTCTGGCTCTGCCTCCTGAAAAGCAGTCTCCCTGCCTGGCTGCAGGGGGAGGCAGGCCTCAGGGTGACCCACGGCCACCCCAGGTAGCCTGCCTGAGGCAGGTAAAGAATAGACTATTTGTTATTAGATATGATTCTGCTCCGCTCTGGGGTGGGATTTCATTACGTTCAAGACCCTTCTGAGGACAGAGGCAGAGAAGGAAGAGCGTGGGCCAAGGAATTGGGGTGGGGGGGCCAAAGATTGGGGGGAAGCGCTCAGGGCTCATTCACGACTCCGTGGAAAAGCGTTCCCAAAGCCTTCTTCCCGCATAGGTGCTCCCGCTAGTCCCAGTGTGGAATGTGTCACCAAGGACCCATGTTGGCACCCACTCACTGGTATATTCAACTTTGCTTACTGGTAACCATCTCTGGTAAATAAAGTCTAATTTACTGAACCTTTGGGAAATGCTGGAATACAATGAATTTTTTACAGATTCTTTAAGGATATTGGTGAATTTATCTGGGAAATGAAATACCCCATTCTATGTAGCTGTTTGGTTTTCCTTTCACCTTCTCTTTACATTTAGCTTTGGCTTCCAAAGATGAAATGCCATCATGGGCTTTCCATGAAAACACACAGCTCCACCAGCAGGGAGGTGTATCATTGAATATAGCCAGAGAAGGAAGCAAACTCTTCAAAACAAAGGACGCACCAACCCCAGCGTTCCATCCTGCCCAAGTCCCTAGGGTGTTCTGCTGGCTTAATTTTTTCTGAAGCCAGTCCAGGATTTCAGGACTAAAGGGAACTGGCACAGTTCTTAGCCCAAGGCATTGCTTTCCACTTTTTCTTAGTGCCCCCCACCCTCCTCATTATTCAGTGCAGTCCATGGATAAAGCATTGCAGTGCAGTCAAGAGCTCTGGGTCTCCTCCACCTAATGTCACCTGTAGGGAGCCAGTCCCTGAATTTCTCTGGGCACAGCTGTAACTGAGAGTGTGAACTAGAGGATCCTAAAGATCCCTTTCAGCGGCATGATTCTAATTATGAGAGGACATAAATAGGGGAAGCACATCCTTGCATACATGTGGTCAGCTTGGTAAAATACCTGTCTTTGTTTGGGTCAGTGTTTGTGAGCTGAGAATGGCTGGCTGGCTGGTGGTCCTTATTTGTGTGCTACTTGCTCAGGTGAGAGAGATGGGCATATTCTTCAATGTTGGGTACTTCTCTCCGAGTCACAGGTCATTAGATCAGTGGGAGTGGCACTAAATTGGACTCACCGATCTTTCTGTCTTCGTGGGCCCATAGTGATCATGATGTTAGTTAACATTTATTGTGTCCTTCACTGAATTTGATTCTCTCAACAATCCTATGAGTTCGGTTCTATTATTGCCTGCATTTATAAGCAGAACTGAAACTCAAGGAGACTGAATATTTGTCCATGGTCCCAGAGCTCATGAGTGCAAGAGCAAGATTTAAATCCAGGAAGTCTGATTCTGGTGCCTGAGTTTTACTGATTATAATACCACATAGATCCATCACCAAGATTATCAGTGAACACTGAATCTTTGTCCCTGTCACCCAGTCAAGGTGACAGGACATCTGCAGCCCAGAGAAGGACACCGCACTGGTGGGACAGTTCACATCGGCAAAGTTTTATTCAAGTCTGCTCAATCATTTCTTTGCTGACTGACATTCAATCACCTCTTTTAATCTTTGGTTGCCTATGAGTCTTGGATCTGTGTGTCCCTTTTATGACACAGCTTTACGTTGTTGGATGAGGCTGGTGCAATGTGTGTGTAGGGCTCGGTAGCATGTGTGCGAGGATGTGAAAAAGCAGGAGACAGGGCAGTAGGAAGGAAAGAAAATGACTATCCTGGCTTCATCTCTGGCCTATTGCTGACAGACCCTACAATTCTCTAATAAATGTGATGATTATGCTTGTTATGATCTTCCTTTAAGTACAAGTGACTAGGCCATTTGTGTAGATCTGTGAATGTGGATGCAGCAAGAGAAAGTTGACAAGAAGGCCTGATAGGTATTTAAGTAAGTGGCTAGTAAATTCTAACCCCTAATTCTCACTGCACAGACCGAAATAAACTTTTCTGTGCTGTTTACAAAAATAGCCTGATATATTAGCATGGAAGGAAAAAAGTAAGAAGGTGGGAAAAGCAGAGATGCAGTTTAAGCTTATTCATTATGGAAAAACACAGGTTTCTCTTTCTTTATGCTGCTGCATCTTAAATGGAAACTCACTGCTATCTTTGGAAACTTCCAGCTCCTTAAGTTCCTTACCTTGTTGAGGAAGAACAAGTCTCGTTTGCTCTTGAGATAGTTGGACAGATTTCCATATTTGCAATATTCAACGATCACCATCAGAGGCCCTGCAGCCAAAACAGCACATGCTCAGCTACACTGTGCTGGCTACCCACTTGCCGGTCTTCTTTCTGCCCAAGAAGCTCCACCCAACCCATCTTGTGTTAGCAAGATCTAGGGATGCAACTTGAAGGTGAGAGATTTTATTTTTTCCATTTTAATCTGAGAAGGGGTTTTAAAAAATAAAACAAAACACCAAGGAAGAGGAGAGCTGGGGGTGGGGGGGTGGGGAGGGTGTGAAGGAACAAAATAATGAAGAGCATAGGGAGAACTAGAGAAAGAGGGTTCCCCAGCTTTCTGCAGAAAGAGCCAGGGCACCACCTGTAGCTGCCAGCAGCCCTCCTCCTGTGAGTCAGACACTGACTCAGAGCCCCAGCATTGCCAAGCAGCTCCATCCACTTCCAGTGTAGAGAACAGGTCCATTCTGCCTGGCCTGTCTCCCCAGCAGCCTACTGGTCTGGCTGGCCATACAGATGCAAAGTTGCAAACAGGATGAGGTTACCAAGGCAAGAGCTGGAGAAGGGACTTAGCTTTGGCAATACTCAGGGATAATGGACACACAGGTGGCCGTGTCTCGGTGCCAAAGACTTGACTTCTGCCTCCGGCCTTCATTTTCTCTGCTCATGGCTGCTCCCTGCAGGTAGGGCTTCCCGGCTACCCTCATCTCTATATTTTACATTCATAAGCACAGGTCCTCTGTTTCCTTCCAGCTCAAGCGCTAATAGCCTGACCTCAGGGAGGGTAGAGGGCCTCTGACACACATCTGAAGCCTCCCTCCTAGCAACAGTCCTATTCTAGCCAATCACCTTAGTGGATGAGGCCTGCTTAAAGGGACCTAAGTCCCTCCTCCTGGGAGCCTGCCAATAGCGATTCATTCTTTAGGTGAAACTTCAAGGAAAGCTGAACCTTACATGCTCTTCCCTTAGCTCTGAGACAAAAACATCCTCCACTTGACCTAGAATCTAGGCAAGAAGAAACAGAAGGCGGCTTTCCCTTCAGAACCTTTAAATTTACCATTCAGGCAAGGCCAGCCTAGGACTGGAGCACCCTAGACCCTGTGTGGGTCTGTGGCAGGCCATTTTCTAGGAAGTGGGAAGAAACAGGGGGCAAGGAGAGACTGTTGGCCTGAGGAGACGTCTCAACTTGTGAATGGGGAGACAGTCCAGGCCTCCCCTTCTTTTACCTCCTTGTTTGGTGCAGGCTCCTAGCAGGTTAACCACATTCAGGTGGTGGCCGATGTGGGTCAAGATCTTGAGCTCAGTCATCAGAGCTTTGTACTCACTGGCCGTGGCCCCCTCTGTGTGAGAAGCAAGGAAGAGTCAAGGTGACAGGACAATGGGCTCCTTCCGCAGGCGGCAGGCGGCTTTCCCGCCCTCCATGTTTGTCAATGCTCGGCCGGTGCCTTCTTTCACTTCCCCCACATTCTGCAGAAGGGCCAAGTCTCCAGACTGTTTTCATTACTCCCACCCTCCCGAGCCAACATCCTTTTGATTACAGTAAGGCCCAGCGTACGGCGGTGTTAGTCACTGGACGTTTCCTCTTGGAGGGCCTGGGCCTGCTCAGCGATACGCTGACTCAGAGAGGGACGCCGTGAACGCGCCTTCCAGAAGCTTCCGCTCGGTCAGAGCCAGGCCACGAGAGGCTTCCAGTCGGGGGGTGTGCTCACGCCTCCCGGCTTTTTCTCATTTTCCCTTCTTTAAGGAGTACAAAGAAGGAGCTCATGGGGCCTGCAGGCACAGATTGGCCACTCTGTAAACATCTTTGCAATGTGTGATATTTTCCTTTAAACCTTTTCCTCCCTGGAGCTGAAGGGTTATCTGGGGGACCCGCAGCGTCTGACTTCAGCTTCATTCTCAGAGATAAATAGCATCAGTTTCAAAATTCACAGGGCACATCACCAAAATTAAGTTCTGCTTGTTCTGAATGACTAATTTTTAAGGCATGAAAAACATGTTCATGTTTAGAAATAAAAAGTTTAAAAATCTTGTGGTAAAATATTCTAACAATTAGATGAGGAAAGCCACTACAACCTACACTTTCCAGGAGTAACCACTATTCTGGCAATCATGTGGAGTTCTAGCCCTCTTCTGATGCATTTACAGAAATATATACCCCATCAAAAGTCTCTTTGTTTATAGCAATTAGATCATCTCCATTCACACTCATATATATACTTTCCTCCTTTTTAATATAAGATTAAAAAGTTGTTTTGAGGTAACATTGGTTTACAACATTGTGTTTTAGAAGTATAAGCTGTTCCCCTTTAGGTATTCGATTCTTGGCATTCCAGAAATCTATTTATTTATTTTTTAAGATTTTATTATTTTTGTGTAGACGAAGTGGGATGTAAGCCAGAGGTGCAGGGAGTGAGAGGATTCACTGGAGACAGAGTGGGGAGCAGAACAGGCCGACTGACAGAAATACACTGCTGAGGGGAGCAGTGGGCGAGACAGGAGAGGTCTGCCGTGCCATTTGGGTCACCTCTGGGGCAGGGTTTGAACTCAAACCCTTGCAGTGGAAAGCGCTGAGACTTAACCCCTAGGCCATGTGCATTCTTGACATTTAGATTATGTACAGTTTATGTAGGTTTTTTTTTTTTGACATTATAAATAATGTTGTAATAGACAGCTTAAGCATAATCTTTGTGTATATGTGCCATATTCCTATAGAACAGACTTGGAAATGGATTTTAAAATGCACATTTTACAGTGTGGTAGATACTGACATGGCATTTCATAAGCACAAATCAGTTTTTGAAGAAAACCAGATAAACTCTAGAAACCTCCCAATGGACACAGCATTGGATAACAGTAGATATTTAACAATGTTTGTTTGATAAATAAACAGCATGGTAATTCTCATTTCAGACATGGGCATAAGGCCCGAAAAAGGGTAAAGGTTTGGCTCAAGGGCATTCAGAAGGAGCTTCTGGCTCGTGGCATTTGCTTGGCATTCTGCCTTTTCCGTTTCTCCCAGAAACAGATGGTCAACCAATTTCGGTAAGAAAGCTGAATGAAAATACATTTTAAGGAATTTTGTAGCATGGGTGATTTGACAAACTTCTCTAATCAATGCTGATGCCTTTTTAAAAAAGCTCAGCAGGCATAAAGTGACTAGGCTCCCCGTTGCTATGTTATACGGAACCGATTCTCTGGGCCTTTAAAAATCTCGTCAGAAATCCTCCCCCAACCCCCAGCCATCCAAGTATTAATGCCCTTTTGGCACAGAGGCAAAGTACCCAGGGTCTTTTGCTCCGATTGTTCAGTTGAGAGCGGGGCCATAGGTTTTGTCATGGACCCAAAGACACAAAGATGGAAGCTGACTTGCTTCTCTGAGAGGCAGGTGTGGTAGTGAGCAGGGAAAGGACATGAGCTGAGGAAGCAGATGCCCCAGGTGTATCAATAGTTTCCACTTATGTGCAGGTGGAATACTACATTGCCTCCAGGTCACAGACTGGGTTTGTTTGTTTTTGTTTTCAGGATTTTGGAGCAAGGGCTCGGCTCGTTTCCAGAAGTCCGCCCCAGCGGCCCCTCCAGAACCCTGTGGGTGGGGGAGGAGCACTGTCACCCTTACTTCTGCATGGATGAGCTGAGTGGCCTTGAGGAGGCTTTTCAGCCTTCTGGGGCCGTTTTTCTTCACCTGAAAACTGGGATAATAGCTACCTCACAAAGCTGTAGGGAGAAACATAGAAAAATGGCTACTTCACGTGGGTCAGACAAATAGATTTAAGTACCTAGTGTGGCCCTATCTCATATAGAAGATGAAGTGATACCTCTTTAGAATCTGGGGGAGGGGAGCTGAGTGCAGCTATTCTCACAGATCACGGGCAACCATGTGGGGGAGTCCTCTCAAACACAGGCTTGACTTGTGAATGACAAATCCCACTCCTGGCTACTTTTAGAATTGAACTGTCAGTTCTTCATGGTTTTAATCAGAGCTCTAGTTGATGAGGGTAATCTTTGAGGTGGAAATTCCATCACATGGGGCTTTAGCCAAGAAGGTGTCTAGGCTGGAAGAAAGTGAGTGGCTTCATCACTTGCTTAAGGAAATGGCCCTTATTCCTGGAGTTCTTGCCAGATACCTGCTTAGTTGGGGGCAATGCTTTCCAGACCTGAGAGTCCCTGGCAACATGTCGGAGACTTGGAAAAGCTAAAAACGACCCTAAGGGTTTTCAGTTCTATGTCTATTTGCTTTGGGAATCTTAAATGTGTTGAAGTTAAACAAGTGAGGAAATGCTTTAAAGCACATGCAAATCCTTGCTACATTTGCTTTACACAATTCATTTGCTTTTCTTTGCCAACTGTCTGGTGGTGGTGGTTATAAATCACTGTGTGATTCCACCCCACTGGTCAGTACTTCATGGACTGGTAGTTTCTTTAATTTCACTAGAAAGATAACTTGTGTGTGTGTGTGTATGATTTAATTTCTTAAGAGGAAGTGCTTTATGGCTGGGGCATGATGGTGTAAAATCAATGGATCCGCTCAAGTGTTTTAACTTGGAGATTTCACTTTATGGGTAGGTCCAGCTCGAAGAAGGCCCTTGGGGAATCCTGTCTCACTACTGTGCTTCCACTCCAGCACCACAGTGTCTCTTCCCAGAGTGCTGAACTTGTGGCTACAGTGGGTTTAGTTGCTCAGCAGTCTAGAGCATGAGATGTGATGGAAGAAAGCTCTTTGATATGACAGATATCATTTTCCTGTGGACCATGCTGGATGGCTTCATTTTACAAGCTTTAGTCTGAGCTCTTGCTGCGTGGTCTGAACTCCTGTGGTAAAGGGGCATCCTGCATAAGAGTAATACCAGGGCAGAAACAACTTATGTCTGTTCCTAGGCCAAATCCAGCATGTCCCAGTGTTTAGGGAATGTGATGGGTTAGTTCAAAATCAAACGACAGCACCCATACCTTTCAGCATTTTTACAGCCACAGTCCGGCAGGTGGGTGATTTCTTAATGCCAAAAGCAGACGCTTGAACCACTTTTCCAAAAGCCCCTCTTCCAAGCGATTTACCTGCAATGAGAAGAAGACACTGGTTGATTTTCCAGGCCAGCAGATGAGTTTGACTTTTTCAGGATGGAAGTTCCTTTTTTCCGGTGTGTACATATGCGAGGCTTGTAGCTTTGAATGGAATCTCCAGTGAACTGCCCTCAAGTGAGCCAAAGCACAGGATCCATTTCTGAGCCTTCTCCTTTCAATTTTTCACTATGCTTCAGAGGCACCCCACCCCTCAAAGCTAGGCTAGCGCCCGGGAAGGCATTTGGTGCTGGTGGAGAGCCACTTTTCTCTCTGCAAGGATTGACAGAGACACTACCAAATCCTGGGTGGTTTCTGCAAACCCTGGATTTGCTAACATTAATTGCTAACATTATTACCAAGAAGATTTCCCTGTATTTAACCTAAGCCCCTTTTCTTGTCACTTAATGTTATTCTTTATTATTATCAATAATTAAATTAAATTATTTATTTAATTATTTATACATACGAACTGGGGTACAGGCCAGAGATGCAGGGGATGAGAGGATTCACCAGAGACAGGGTGGGGAGCAGAACAGGCAGATCTACTGAAATACTCTGCTGAGGGGAGCTGCGGGTGGGTCAAGAGATCTGCTGTGTCATGTGGGTCACCTCCCGGCCAGGGATGATCTCTTGGTGCAGTGGCTGCGATAGCTTTATGGTGCTGTGCTTTAACCTGTTGTACCACCAGGGAGGGCACAGGTTATTTCTTCTTATGTGGTTTTGTTAGAAAGGGAGAGGTAGAGAATAATGGTTACTACTACTGGTGATAACAATGCTTTATAACTACAAAATAATCATGACATCATTTCACAGACTTCCTTGCGAGGAAAACTATTCTCAGCATTTCTTAATGTCTTCGTATCATGATTCTTCATGCTTTAGCACCTGTGAACCAGTGGCAGGAAGTCATTTCCACCAGAGAGGAAGCGACCATGCAACAACCAAGCAAGGATCCTTTCATGGCATCTGTTACTTAGGCTATAACGATGGCTAACATGTTTTTCTGTAACTGTGCAATTCCCAGAGAGAAGGGAGGTTCCAGATTCCCTACCCCACCTAAGGAAGGGTGGGACTTGGTGGGGAGGAGCAGCTAGAAAGACTGGGACAAGGGCTGGGGGAGGGAGATAAGAGAAGACTGGAGAAGGCAGAGACAAGTGAAGAAGCCATGCTTGCTTCTGGGATTTGGCCTTGTATCAGGGACTTGGGGGGCATGGGAGGAGATCCCAGACAGAGACATGGGTGAGAGACCCATGGCGGCGCCTACATTGGCAGCCTTTATCTTGACTTGGATTTTGACTTTGCTCTTTTCCTTCCAGACTTGCCTGGCCCTTTCTGACCTTCTGATGAGTCCCCACCAGAAAGTGCCAGAGACTTGTGCATGCTTTTTTGGCCTCAGTGGTCTCTGCTTTGGGCCAACCCTGTTTGGCTGGACACTTACCCATGAGGAGCTGGGTAACTGTGGGTGTTTAATTGGAAACTACTTTAACCATTTTCTTTCTCTACTTTCTATTGCACACTAATTCTATTAAAGTTGTTTTCCATGGAAGGTCTTTCATACTAAGAGTATGATTGTCTTGACGTGGTGGGTAGCAGAACCCATTTAGAGCAGGCAGGTTTAGGGACACTGTTGTCTGGTCTTCCTGCTGTTAACACTTCCCCAGCTGGCCTGAGTTTCCCTGACCACAGGGGCAGTGACCATGTCTGAATCTTCTCGGAACGAAGGCAGTGGCTAGAAGGCCCCTGCCCATTCGTACACAATGAAGAGCAGCATATGGGGATCTGTGGGTGTTTGAAACAAGCTTCCTACAGTCTAGGGTGACCTTGCAGTGATGCTCTGTGAAGAGGGTTTCCCCTGAAATACCTTAACTACCTTATATTTCAGGGGAAACCCCTTTGCATTATCCAGAAATAGATACTAAGTAGATACTGAAGAAAAGCGCTCCTTAGATATGATATGGCAAAAAAAAGTAGTGGGCCAAAAAATCATCGTTGGTTCTTCTGGGGGAAAAATGTCAACAAAATGCCTGTGATCAAAACTAAATTCTGGGCCCTCTCTCGTGGCACAACAGGTACAGCACTATGAAGCTACCCATAGCCACTGCAGCACAAGTTTGATCCCTGGCCTGGGAGGTGACCCACATGGCATGGCACATCTCTCCTGACCCCCCCACTGCTCCCCTCAGCAGTGTACTTTATCAATCTGCCTGTTCTGCTCCCCACTCTGACTCTGGTGAATCTTCTCATCCCCCACAACTCTGACCTGTACCCCAGTTCTGTATGCATAAATAAATAAATCTTAAAAAAAACAACAACTAAATCCTGGCAGTTAAAAAGTAGTTTAACCCCACACCTCCTCTCCAACCAAATCCTTTTTCTCAGGCTGTCCTGATAACACGCCTTCAGCAAACCTCCCTCGCCCTGTCTCTCCTTCCAGCCTTTCCCTCCCCTTTCCACTCCCCCCTCTCTCCTCCACAACCCTCCCTCCCTCTAGAATCCTTTCCCTCAAAAGACATTGTCTTAAAAAAAAATTCTTTAGAGTCTGAAATGAAAATTTTCCTGCTTCCTCATCACATTAGAGCTTTTATACTTTTGTAACATCTTGCTGCTGAAGATGACCTCATCCTGCCTCTGCTCAGAACCTTCCCAACCCACCACTGGACTTCTCGTTAAGACATGGGGATGGCAGTTAGCCAGCCCTGTCACTAGAGAGCCCCTGGGCTGCTGTCGTTCCACCCCTCTCCTGAAGATGCACGCTGCCCTCAAGGGGGCGCTCGTGAGGTCGTGTTCCCCGCCCAACATGCACCCAGGTAGAATGACTAGGGCCATTCCTCCCAGAGCAGGTCCCAGGGGCAGGGATGGAGTCGCTGCTCTCTCCAGATACCACTGCCCAAGAAACAGACTCGAATGGGACTCCAGTTGAAAGAGAAGAGTCATGCGAGCTCCCTGCTGGATTGGAGATGCGTAAGGAAAGCGCCCTGACAGACCCCTTCTCCAAGTTTGTAAAAACTGGCCCATTTTGACTGGAGATTTGCTGCTTGCTTTGTGGAGGACATGCAATGCCTTCTGCCACCAACCATGAAAAGTGTCCGGAGGCTGAAATATACAAAGTAATTTCTATTTCCACATACTTGCAGACTCTTGCTTGTTTGGGGCAGACAAAATCTTTTCACCTTCCACAACAGCAGCCCTCCCTCCCTCACGCTCCCTCCTTATCCATTGCAACACACTTTATTTTACCAGTTGGAGATCTTTGCTTCTACCATTGAAAATAAACTTATTCTCACTTGACTTCCCTGTCTTTTCACTTATTTTTTTTTTGGAAACTGACCACTGCCTCATAAAACAGCACAAAGCTAGTATGAGCTCTTTAATCAGTTGATGCATTGGAATCTTTCTCCAGACACATGGAAGGGATTTGACCTTTCCACGGACTTGACCTTCCCTGACCCTTCTCCTTTCTGAGCCTCCTTGGTCTTACCTAAATGCCAGTAACCCTCTGGGAAAAGCGCTGAGTCATTGTCATGTAGTGAAAGGATTCTTCTCCAAGAATGTTCTTGGCTGAGCAGGTCCTGGGCCACCCCGGGGAGTGTGCAGGGCAGGAGCACTGAGCCCGCCCTGGCATCCCAACAAGTAGCAGCACCGCCCTGGCACCATCCACTTGCCACATTCCAGATGCCTGTGTTGTTTTCCATTTTAGGTAATTCTGACTTTATATTCCAGTAGAAAGATGCAAGGTCAGAAGTTATCCCAATGTCTGTGATAAATTTATCGGGGCTGAGTGCTCTCCCAGGCTTAGTGAGAAATCTCTAACAAGACAAGTTTCTACAGTTTGTGGATTTCTGGAATTTCTACAGTGGCAGTACCTTTGACCCAAGCTTAGACTGTGTCTGTCAGGTGCTATGCATCCCAGCTTCCCTCACCAGGGCTGCTGTTCTGACCAATAGAGCACGTGGCTGAAGTCAGAGGCAGCTGGCTCTTTGTATTTCTCTACATTTATCATCCACCGTAAGTCTGTCCATCAAACTGGGTTTTACTCTCCATCCATGGAGACAAAATCGTGACTACTTTCACTTGCCAGACATTAGTTCAAATTACTTTCTGTCATTTATTTGGCTTAACAAACAAATAAATCTTGGGTCTTTTGGGCCCCTCATTAAGAGGAAGGGAATGTCTCGGATCCTTACAGCCACACTGGACAATGAGAGGCAGAGCTAGCTGCCTGACACTTTATCTCCCATCAGCAACACGTGCATGTTTGCCAAGTCACAGCATCTGGCCACTCTGGGAAGGAAAAGAACCATAACAAGGCTCTTCGGTGAAGATGTTCTCCTAAAATGGGATGGGCTGGATGGACAGAGCACCTGGTGGAAAGAGCCGTCTGAGGTCCTCCTTATTTGTGACATGCATCAGGGTAGGACCACTCTAGGAAGGAGCTAGAAAGCCAGGACAGGAAGCTCTCTGGGAGACAGAACTTGACCTCTTCAGCAGAAGATGCCTGTTCAGTTGTGACTGATAACCTGGGAAGCGACATGGCTGACAGCGGCTTATAGTTGTGGAAAAACTATCCTGTGTTTTTTGGGCTAGCTGCCATATAATTTAGACTTGCAGAAGGAACTCATCCAGCGTGCCACCTGCCCTTCACTTATCTAAATTTAATTGATTTTTGCTTTGTTTTGTTTTTTTGTCAGCAGCCATTGCAGATTTTCTCTTGTCTCCCCAGCCTTTAACTGGTTTCCAATTTTCTCCCATAAATCAAGCAACATATTTTTGGGGCTAAACCTCCTTTCTCATGTAGAAAGAAATGTAAGTGGAATAATTTCAAAGCCCAAGAGAACAAGAAAACCAGCCACTTCTCGGTCCCCTCACACCCGCTCTGATACAGACTGAGGGCAGGGAGTGGAGACGATGCTGTTGAATTTGGATCAACAGGCCCCTGACAGAAGAGTGACAGGCCAGGAACACTCCATCCATGATCTCTTTTCCTAGTTCCAAGTACTAATGATTCTGGCATAGATAGAAGTGAGTGGAAAACTTTTCAGAAGCCACAATCCAAATATTTGGGTCAGGAGGAATTGAGGCTCCTGATCTTTTGTGAAGCCAAGGGCTGGCGATGAATATTCATTGTGATGTCTGAGCTGCGGAGCTGGGGAATAGTCTGAGCAAAGCACATTGGCTGATTCTTCAGAGCATCTGTGTCACCTGGAAAGCAAACATCTTTGCTCTTCAGAAAAAAACTTTAAAGACCCCTACGACTTACTTCTCTGTGTGACATTCCAAACACCCAGGAAAATCTGTAATGTGTCTGTAGGGGTTGTTTGATCCACAGCCTTGAAGAGCATTTACTTTCACCAATGTTTGCTTTTGCTGTTCCTCATCATCCTGCATTGTATTCTGGGTCACAAGTATCTTAGCTCTTCAAAAATCCCATTATTTGAGTGTCTTTATACTTGTAAGCCCCCAATGGGACTGATGTCATCCTATCCCCTTCATTTTTTGACCTTGTGGCTACACCTTTGTCTCCCCAGGGCTCACAGCAGACTCTCCATAGCTGAGAGGGATGAACAGGAGCTCCCTGGGCCCTTCCGTTGGTCTTAGCACTTGGTTAGAAATATGGAGCTCTGTGGGCACCTCTCTTCCCAGTTTGTGAACAGCTGGAGCTAGAATCCCAAGTCGAATTTATTTTTGCACCCATCAGACCATAGTATTGGCTTGCTCAATATGGGGGTGGGAATCTATGGAACAAATACATTACCCAGTTTCAGCCGCTCCCGGGCAAACTCCCACTTGCTGGCATCATAAGGGAGACGCTCACACTGCTCGTCCAGGGGAACCTCATCGGGGTCCATTATAATTGACAGGTAGTCCGTCTTTATCTCAGAAGAAGACTGAGAAATAAAGAGATCTCCAAGTCACTAACAAGAAACCTTCAACCACCCAGAAAGCAAATTTAAAGTGATAGTGGCAACATCGGCTGCTATTTTGGTTCATGTTGAAACCAGGCGGTCAGGCACAGAAAGCAGCCATCTGCAGAGACATAGGCACGCACTCAAGCACTCAGCTCAGTTTCCATGAGACAACCCCTCACTATGCCCACAGTGGGTTACTATAGCTCGAACCGCCCCGGTGCAGTGAAGATGCTCCTAGATTCTTTAGTGACATTATGACTTGAGCTTAAACAGTCCGCATCTGCTACTTTAAGAAATGCAAAGTATTTTTATAAAATCATTCTAAAATGATGAAAACAACTTCCATAGCCACTTCGGATCAACAAGAATATATGTTACAAAATTGAAGGCAGTGGGGTTCCTGGTTGTGTCCTTTCAACATTTCTGAGAAAAGCTGGGGGCAGGGGGTGCAAAGCAAGTCCAGGATGCCTGGGACAGTTAAGAGGCAAACCTCACGGGCTGGTCTCTGAGTTGCTGCAGCTCCAGTTGAGTCCGTTAGTGATATTAGGGTAGGATTTATCGTCAGGGAGAGATAGAAATTGCTCATTCTAAAGGCCAAACAGTAAATAGGGTAGATGACTGAGAGCCAAGTTCTGAGTTGCTTTGGCCATAAGATCTCAAATAAGCAGGTAGGCATCTGCTTCCAAGTACAAGATTATCTTCAAATGTTGAGCCCAGAAAATGCCCTATATTTCAGATATTTAAATAGATAGCTGGATTTACAAAGAGTGTCTCACAGTCATATCACTGGCTGACTTTCTTGTTAATTAAACATAGAATTGATGGCTGCATTGCTGTGAGTAGGACAGAAAGGATGTGTGTATGTTTGCCCATAATAAAGTGAGTTTTGGTAACTCGTCTACAAATCATATAAACTCATTTAAATGAATTGGGGGCCCTTCCTTTTTTTGGTGCCTTCCCCTAACCAGGAGCAGAATCCAGGAGAGTGACAACCTCTTCATCTACACCACTTCACACCTGCCCGCAGTCTTCTGCTTTTACTCTTCCTGTTCTGTGCTGTCACTGCTCACCTCATCCATCACTCGCAATCGGTCTCCTTCTCACAAAAATTATCACTAAAATGTGTGACAAAGAGCTCCAGGCAGAAAGACTTGCCTGGTCAAGAACACACTGAAGAATAGGTCATGTGGAAATACATGTCATGAACTGCATTTGCCACTGGGCAAATTGTTCGTCAAGGCCCAGTCTTCTAGGTGCTCCAGGGTCTCTAGGATTGCACAGGAGTAACTTCCATTGAGAATGCTGGGTGTTCACCTTGGACACTCTTCTGATAAAACTTTTCAATAGCCAGCCGAGCCGTGGTTGTGAGGGACAATCCCCAAAGATCCCCGTTACAGATTAGGAAGGGACACTTTGATTTCTGGGGGTGTATTGGTGGGGGTCGACAGCGGTGCTGGAGAGTCAGGGGGCTCTCCAGAGAAGACAAGTTCCCCAAGTGGCACCTATGGAATTCTATGGTTTATCTCGATATGGCCGACGAGAGGAAACACAAGCAAACCTCCAGTGAAGGTTTTGGGGAGTGCACGATAGCAGAAGCCGAGTTGACAAATATTTATTCTTTCAATTGACGTTAACACTGAGCAGCCATTAGGTGCTTGGTGTGGAAGCTGCACAGCTCAGCATTCAGAGCCCAGGCCCTGAGGTGGGCGGCCTGGATTTCTTGAATCACAGCTGGATTCTGACCGGCACATAACCTTGGGCAAGTGGCTTATTTAACCTTTGGAAGCTGAGTGTCCTTATCTGCAAATTGGTGATAATCATGGTACTTATCTCATTGGGCTGTTGCACGTATCAAATGAAATAATCCCATAGAAAGCTATTAGGACAGGGCCTGGTGTATAGTAATAGTGGTAAATGTTAGCTGTTACTGAATGTTAGTAAATATAAGTATAACTCTGGACTATGTAGGGTGGGGGTAAAAAGATAAAACACAGGCTTTATCAATAAGCCATGTACACTGTGGCTACAGAAAACACGTGCAAATACATTTTGAGCCTTTTTCCTCTTGGCCTCCCAGAACCAATCACATTTTAATTATAAGCAATCTATTACTGAGATGATAATCTCTTGCCCATATTCTTTCTTACTGACGCCAGGTTTTCATAATTCTTAGAAACCCAAGGAACTTCTTCGATTTAGTCCCAATTTTCTTGGGCAGTTTTATTATTATTTGCATTCTGCTGCCCCATGCAAAGTGACAGGGCTCCGCCTTTATCTACAGTGGGAAGGAGTAGGGATATTTTTATGCTGCTTTCCTTCCAGCTGCTGCTGGCAAAGTCTCTCTCTAAACTTTGCTTTCTCTGCAGGTTTTCCCTTCTCCTCCTTTGAACATCTTGCGCTTTTGTTATCTTCCTTTCAGATTTCGCAAGTTCTGCTTTTGTTATATGCATTTCCTGGAGGAGTCCCCTCTTCTTTCAAGAGGCTGTTTGCCTTCTAAAGCAGTGGCCTTAATTGTCATGTCCTAAGCCTATCACTTCATCTAGCACAGGGCTCTGTTCACCTCGGGACAGCACTGTGAGCACACCTGGGTGTTAAGGAGCCTAGGGTCAAACCCCTGGGTTCAAAATTCAGCTCCAACTCTCACTGTTCTGTGACTTTGGAGAAGTTACTTTACTCTCTGAAACTCAGATCCCCTCTCTAAGTGGGAAATAATTATAAATCTACCTCTTTGAGTTTAGAGTAGCATTTATTGAGAAACTACATGAAGAGCTTCCCATAAGACCTAACCCATGAATATGGGCTAATAAATCTCTAGAAACTGTGAGGCTGACTTAGTACTTTTCAAGCCTCATTGATTTTCCCTCCTAAATATCTCTTGATCCTAATAATTTAGACTGTGATCATTTCTTACTGGATTATGATAGTCTTCTATTAGCTTCTTCTCTATTTATTCCCGCCGCTTCTTAGCCCATTTTCTTCACGGTGGCCAAAATAATCTTTCCAGACACAAACCTCTCACAGTCCCCTGCCTTTACCCCTCTTCCCCCACCTCCTATAACTTCTAAAGTGCTTATCAGCCTGGCCCCCCCTTAGGGGTAACTCTTTTCCCCAATAGTTTTACCTCTCTTTGCCAGATTACCCCCTTTGTACGTCTTTAAGACATAACTCTAGTTGCAGCTGTACATTTGTCTATGTCTGTGTTAAAGTCATCTCCCTCCCAGCCTGCACACTAAGATTTGCTCACTACTTTCTCTAGAGGGCCTTATACAAGGCCTGGACTCTGCATTGAGCAAGCACACCATAACTATTCAAGGCATGAGTGAATGAATGACTGAATGCGGGTTTCTTCCCCACTGATCTTCAAAGAAGTAAGCAGGGCTGAGGTCTAATCATTGGAAACTGATGTCTGAATCCTAACCTGAACCTCACACCCTAAAGCACTGAATGGTTTGTGGTGCTCAGAGACTGGTTTGGCAGTGGATTTCTTTGGGTCTCCATAATATTATGAGTGAGATGTCCAAAGTGGATCCTTCTTTTTTTTGTTCCTTTTTGTTCCTTAGCAGTGCATGAGGTTAAGAAAGTGAAGGCTTTCACAGTCGGTGCTGAATTTAAAGTCATTCTTACATGTTTTTATGTCAAAAATAGCCCTCCATCCTTGGAAAGTAATAATCTGCTCATTGTTCTAACTTTTCTCACACTCTGTGGCAGAAAGACATTTCACTGCTTCATTTTCAGTGATCATGGATCAGACAAAGGAGGGGAAGGTACGCAATGCTGGCTCAGCGCCTACTCGAAACACCAGTCATTCTAGAATATTCCATGCAAAAAGGAGCATAGCACTTCATCTGAAATGTTCTTACCCTTTTCAGTTTTCGGATAAAGAGAGTCAGCAGGAGCCAGAAGAGGGTGGCTGCCACGCAGGTACACGTCAGAGTAATCAGTTCCAGGTTAGATTTGTCTGAAGTTCCTGGAGAGAGAAACACCACCAAATAGTGCTAAGAAGCAACTCTCAAACATAGAGGCTTAGTGATTTTGCAAAAATTGCCCAGTGTCTCTCAGTGGTTCATCGTGGTGGACATAGTGAGCTGGAGCAGGAATTAATATCTGGGACAGATTCTCTTTTACCTTCTGAGTCAGGCAGGACCCGCAAGAGTATCGCACTCAACATACATAAGTTAAAAGGACTTTACAGAAATTTTGCTATTGGGTTGTCAAGCTTTGTAATCACAGATATAGCTAATTAAAAATCAGAGGACAAATTAAAAAACGGAGAAAAATTAAGGCAGGAACAAAAGCACATTAAAATACTAAATCTGGAATATGTTAAATCTTCCTAATGGGCTTTAGAGGAAATTCTAAAGAAAAAGAATAAGAAAAAATGCATAAAAGAGCTCCTTCAGGACTCATAAAGCTCTTCAAAGTCGATGTGAAAAATAAAAATGAAGCTCAAGGATTTTCACCAATGCCTGTTCCCTTCTTTTGGAAAAGTATGGCCACACCCCTCAATCCAGGGTTCCATTTCTGATCTCTCAGCTGTCAGCCTTCTGGGCTGAAATCAGAAATAAGTGCTAGATCTGGATTCTTGCCAATCATCTCATTTCCCAGAATCAGAAACCAAAAGCTGAGCACTGAGCACTGTTCTCCACTACCAAAAAGAAAAGATCCAGGTATTCAAGTGAAGCCTCCAGAGAGGAACATCTTTGGGGTTTGTCTAGGAAGGCCCCAGCAGACCAAAACAGCTGTTCCCTACTTTTTGATTTCAGGCGACAATTTTCCAGAAATTATGAAAAGAAATTGCTTCTATCCTTTAACTTTATTAAGAGAAGGCAGGAGCTTGGCATTAAGCTAGACAAAGAAAAGTGAAACTTACTCTTTTTAGAAATGAAGATGTGAATGATAAAAAAATGATATTACTTATTGAGCAAGTACTTACTATGTGCCAAACCCTCACACACAGCCTATGAAGTAGGTGGCAATAATATCTCATTCATAGACAAATACTTCACTGGTTTCAATTTAAGGATGATGTATTGGGTCCTAATACAGAAGGGTCCAGTGATAGAGGTCAGAAGATAAATAAGGAAAACTTGTCACTTTCCAAGAGCTTATTTGCAACCTAACCAAAGGACTTAAGCGAATACAAAGATATCACACTAAAAGAGTTTCAGAAGTTGAAAAAATGTAATAGTTTTTGGAAAAGGGGACATTTGAAATGCAACTTAGCATACAGAGAAGGGGGGCTGAGGACATTATAGGCAGAGGGGTAAGTATGAGTAAAGACCCAGAACTGGGAAAAGATGGGACATTGATTACAGCATCTGCAAGATACAGGATAGAAAGATGCAGTATTCTGGGCTTCTTTGTGATGGCTTCAAACTAAATGTTGCAGTGACTGGAGCTGATGAAGGTGCTGTTCCCTGAATAGTGGCACACTCACAAGCTGGAAGCTTTCACTTTCATGTGTTCAGCCATCAGTATATACTATTAATCCCTTCCTTTAAGCCATGGAGTAACTTTGAGTTTACATGGGAAACTGACATTTTTACCATCCAATCCATAACAAAGTCTTGTCCATTCTGCTTCTATGGCTCATAAAACTATCTCCTCTTCTGGTAACCCACTACCCCTGACTAAATCAAGGCTCCATCACATCTCGCCTAAAGGACAGCTTTCTAAACAATCTTGACTCTGCGTGTTCTCCTCTGTTCTGTAGCCCATGTGATCATGCAAAGTCACAAGCTGGATCTTATTACTCTTGCTCTTAAATTCCATCATTCCTCCATCCCACCTCTTTCATTGCCAAGATAAAAACCCAGATCCTTAGGTCCTTTATCCCCAACCTAGTCTACCTAATGAATTAATGTCCTGTGGTCCACGTCAAAATACTTGTATTTTCTTAAACTACCCTTCTGTAGTACCTCTGTGCTTTAACCATTGTTGTTTCTTTATCAGAATGTGGGTGGGCACTCAGACTACATCTTATTCATCTTTATCTCCCACTCATCAGGTTGGGTGAATTAGTGGATAAATGATGCTTTGGCTTATGTACTCCAATTCCTACTTTTGGGTATTAATCCAATAAGCATATGGAGCACTCAGATTCTGTTCTAGGTGGTGGTAAATGGTGGTAAGCATGGTCTGGTGCTCATAGCCTGACATTCAAATCTGAACAGGTGAGTATGTTCAAGTACTGCTGGTGAAGCAGCAGACTATGACTGTGGTTCCTTTGTTCTCTGCCACCTCTCTGGTATTTACAAAAGTACCTGGCACATAGTAAGCATCCTGTAAGTATTTCTTGAGTGAGTGAATGAACTTGGCTTCCTTTGCTGCTTTGTCAGCTTGTAGTTAAGTTTCTATGAACGTCATGGGATGGATTGAGAGCAGATTCCTTGAAGAAAGTTAGAGTATGATAACCTTTCCTCTCAGGCACATCTTGGTGGAATATTATAAGTGCCAATTGATAAGAGTTTGGATTTCTATCTTCACAGTGTGAAGTCTAATGCTGACTTGCTACACACACTCACCCCCCCCACACACACAAATACACACATACACCCTTTTGCTTCTGCTACAAATAAATTTTGTGGAACCTGATTGAGACCTCTTCAGGACACAGTGGTCTCTGTTTGGAGATGCTGATGGCACCTTGAGACAGGGCACAGTCTGCCCCAATTCTTGCAGAGGTCTCTATGCACAGGAGCCCAGGGAGAGGCCCCTTCCTATTGTGGGAACTTTCCCACTGCATTCCATGGGGCAGGAAGTTGACCCCCCAAAGTAATTCCACAGCCCTTAGTAAGGCAAAATTCCTTTCAGTGGGCCCAAACGTGTTTGGGCGCACTCACATTTTTGAAGCATCAACTCATTAAAAAACATCGTCAAAAGGATTACTTACTGGAAAGGAAAGATCTATTTAATGCTTTTATGTTGCTTACTGAAAATTAAATTTTTATAAGATACAGTATCTGTGTTCTCTCTCTAGCTCATTGGATGACTCAATCTCTATCTTTATTTGAAAACTAACCACCAGGCCCATCTTCTGTAGGGGAGACTGATTTATATCAGCAGCATCTCTTTCTATATTGCTCGTGAAGGTTGCTCAGAGGTCAGATATCCACACATTGGCCTGGCCAGACCCAACTTCACCTCGCTGGTGACAGCTGATGAGTTCAGCCATGAAACAGGCCAGCTGTACAGATGGGGGTGGGGAGAAGGGGAGCCAAGGGAAACAGGTAGGACTTGACAATAACTAGCAGTTGGCATGAGGTTCAGGGGAGCCATGCCCCTCTGATAGATGTGAAAGGTCAGCATCAGGACACAGTTCAGAATTACTTTGGTTACTGACAAGAAAGTGGCCAGTTAGAAGAGTTTAGGGTAATTGTGCCTTTTATCATGAATTGCTGAGCCTGCCATGCGGAGTGTGCCAGGTCAATCACCCTGCTGGGTTTCATACTCTCCCTCTGGGATAGGAAGGGTAGGCGCCCAAGGGGGAGGCCCTGGGCTCGGGTTAGGGCTTGTCTGCAAACCGCACGGCTCGGTGGCATTCTGCCACGTGTTTTTGGCCTGTCATCTGTGTCAGGCAGCTCTCTGCGAGGTGCTGGGCTTCAGCGTGGTCTCTGTGTGGGCAGCAGACATTTGCCAACAACAAGCAGGAGAGCCAGGAGACTTAGCTCTTGCAACACACTGACAGTGATTCCCAAGAAATTTAGGAAACTCCCTGAAAAAAGACCAGGGTCCCCAGCACCAAGGTCTTGACTTCAGAGATCAAGTGTAAGTTTCATTAAGAAAGGGCATGAACTATCATGGGACTCCAAGTAGCCATGACTTAGACCAAGGACTCTGTGCCCAATCATCCACATCCTTAACATGTGGACATGACAAAGTGCCCTGCCTCAGAGGTGGGATGTGGGAACCTAGTGTCAACTATTGTTATTATTATTTTATTTACTTATTTTTATCTTTTTTTTTTTAAGATTTATTTATTCATGCATACAGAACTGGGGTACAGGCTAGAGGTGAGGGGTGGTGAGAGGATTCACCAGAGACAAAACAGGGAGCAGAACAGGCAGATCGACAGAGTACACTGCTGAGGGAAGCACCATGTGGGTTACCTCCGGAGCTGGGGATGGAACTCACACTGAAGCAGCTGCGGCTTACTTGCAGTGCTGCGTCCTAACTGTTGCATCACCAGGGAGGGCCATTATTATAATTTTAATTGGAAGGAACACTTTATTTACATGGAATAGAGACAGCAAGGTCAGCCCTAACAGTGGCCACCCAGGATGCTGGCTAGGACACCCTCAGAGGCTGATGCAGAACGACTAGCCTGAGTCCCTTCCTGTGCTATGCAAAGATTCCAGCCCAGCCCTGCCGAGGACAGATACTGAGCTATTACTTTAAAGCCTTCCTTCCTCCCTCGCTCTTTCTTTTTTCCTCCCCCCACCCTCTTATCCCTCTTTGAACGTCAAGTGTCACATACATTTTTTATCCAAGCATATGGCATATCATCACAATTTTCCTTGCTAAAAACGAATCAGACTCTGATCCATCATTCTTGCAGACAAATGAATGATCACTTTTCTTGAGAAATTTGCTTGACACTGCAGGTGCCTTAGTGTGGTTCTCTGGTTCTATCATTCTTTAACTTGAGGTGACTGTATATGTGGGTTTATTTTCCTTTAAGCATGTTAGGGCATCAAGAGAAGGGGGTGCTTTTTGTTCATTTTGCAGCTCACGCATTGGCCTAGAGGGACTCTAATCTTTATATGTGTATTAATCAGACACACTTGACTCTCCCATAAGCTAATTACATGGGTTACCTCTTTCCATCAAAACCCAGGGGCCAGTCACCCAGCAAACCTTATTATGTGATTTCTCAAAGGCTTATTAGAACACTAACATTGGCCTTCATACTATTTATGAAGATTTTTAGAATGCTTTATACTCCAATGTGGAATCTGTCTTAAGGTC